GAATTATGAAGGGTTCATGAGGGAGGGGGGAGGGGAGGGAAGGGGAAATGAGCAGCCGTTATTAAGGGCCCAAGTACAAAGCAAAAGCTTTAGAATGATGATGGCAACAAATGTACATATGTGCTTACACAATGGATGGATGTAATGGATTGTGATAAGAATTGTACGAGCCCCCAATAAAATGATTTTAAAAAAACGTTTGCCTGACCTTGGAATGTGGGCTGACAGGTGCAGAAAGGAGATTTGCCCACGTCTTTTCTTAACAGGTCAAAACAAGGGCGTGGTTCCATCTCTTGCCTATCTGGTTGTGGAGTCCTTGCCACGGAAGAATTTCTCTCTTACTGGAACCTTAGGCGCTGGAAGGGAATTTGGAGCAAGGAAATGAGGAAGGGAATTTGGAGTAAGGAAATGACCTTTGAGAATCGAGGCATTCAGGATTTGGCGGGGGTGGGGTGGGGGTGGGGTATTGCCCTTGTGGCTGCTAGGATGGATGTACATGACCAGCCCTTGCAGTATCAGCTCATTTAAGATAATCCAGAAAAGGAAACAAATAAGAAAAACATCACTATCATCCAGTCAATGACAACTCACATAGAGCTTTCAGAGCCAGGCAGAACTGCCCCTGTGGGTTTCCGTGACTAGATGGGGGTAGAACGTTTCATCTTTCTCCCTCGGAACGGCTAGTGGTTTCAAATGGCTGACTTGTGGTTAGCAGCCTAAGGTGTAACCCACTATGTCACCGGGGAGCCTATCTCAGGGTAGTGGTCCTGAGAAAAAGGAAGGATGTTTTGGTTCTTGGGAAGGTTCTGGATCTCATTTTGCAAACAGCTGGAGGATAGGTCCCTCTGTTACATTTGCAGGGTCCAAGACAAACGTATGAACAGAAATCCCCAGCCCCTCCCCAATCTTCCAAGGGGCTGGGGATTTCTGTTCATACGCTTGTCTTGGACCCTGCAAATGTAACAGATGGACCTATCCTAGTTCTGTCTTATACTGTGCAACTCCTGGTGTGCACTTTGATGTGGGCATCACAAATTATGTCCATAATTCCCCCACCCTTCCAACCCCAACCACACCTGCCTGAGCCTACCCTTAGCTAACCCTCAGAAGGGCATGTGCACACTCAGTGGGGTGGTCCCTCCTCTACTTTGGGAGTTTGGGGTAGTTACATAATACTCTCATTTTGAGAGTAATAAGAGTGAAGGGGTGGAGCTTTAGCCTGTCAATCGGGTCACAGCTTGATGACCTCATCTGGAAGTGCCAAGGAGATTAATAGGTTGCTGAAGGCAGGGCACACACTCACTCCCTGGGAGACATTCCAGCTGACAAGACACAGGGAGCTATGCCAGAGCCCTGAGCTGGAGGAGCCACATCGAGACCCCTGTCAGTGCTGGATCCACAAGACTTTCCACCCACTGGCCTGTGGTCTTCCTGCAAATGGCGTCATTG